ACTTATCCCACCAAGCCCCCTGTCATGTGAGTGAGGCCATCCTGGACACCCAGTGAAGACACTCAGACAAAAAGATGTGCCCACAATTACAATGAAAAGTAAATGCCTACTGTTGTAAGCCAATAAGCATTTGGGTTATTTATTAAGCAGAAAAAGCTAACTGATAGAGCAGCTCATGGAATACCTTCCACAAACTCCTCCAAAGTGGGATGCCAGGTATTTCTAGAAGTAGGTCAATTACAAGGATCTTGCTAATTTCTCTGACTCTGCATGATGAGGAAGTGGGTGGGAGGTGAGTGTGATTGGACAGGTGGAGGAATGGCCAAACATGGCTTGAAGCTTCAAAGCCATGATGCACCAGGCAGGTGGACATCAACTCTTTTCAGCAGTAGGGAGGGGGTGCAGCAATCCCAGGCCTCCAGTCCACCGAAACCAGCTGGCCTGACATTTTTGACATGAGAGGTTTGGGCTACCAGCTTCTGAGTTTTAGAAATTGAGAGAAGAGACATATCGTCAAGAGTCAAATCTGGCCCACCGCTTATTTCTGTAAATAAAGTTTTATTGGAACATAGCCACATCACCCTTTTTATATATTGTCTATGGCTCCTTTCATGCTACAATGACAGAGCTGAATAGTTATGACAGAGACCATATGGCCCTCAAATCCTCAAATATTTACTAACTGGATCTTTGCAGAAAGAATTTGCCAACCCCTGTACTAGGATAATCCAGAGAGGTTCCATGGTGTGTGTCAGGTCTTGAAGGAAAGAGGCAGTGTTTATTTTGGTATAAAAGAATGAAGAATTGCTGAAAGAACATATGAGGAGAATACTATGCTTATAACTGATGCTACATCACTGTGTGCAAAAGTCATTATAATAACTTAAGGATAATACAAACAATAACTAAGCATATATGCCACTTACTATGTGCCAGGTATTGTTCTATGCTTTCTGGATAGTAACTTATTTAATCCTCACAATAATACTATGAGGTTTGTGGTATTATCTCTATTTGTCTGGATGAGAAAACAGAGACTTGCCCAAGGTCACCAAGCTAGCAAGTAGCCTAGCTAGTATTCAAATTCCAGTACTCTCAGTATAGACTCTATGCTCTTTGAAAACTATAAAAGTGGAAATATAAAATGTGATTAAGGCCAAAACTGTGCATGAATTTTAGCTATGAACAATGAGACTACTTTCTAAAGACATTTTATATTGTCTTAATTTTTAAGATTGCTTTATTATTTTATATTGTGAAACCTTTTTTGGCTAACTATTTGTCCCTCACAAAAAATGCCATCACTCAGCTGGAAATTCCCTAAAAGGCTCATCGCTACAGCATGTCTAGGGGTCATGCTGCCATGGCATGCTGTGTCAATACAGCAGCCACTACCAGCCCCAGAGGTGGACCACAACCCATTCCTTAAATTCTGACCACCAGCATGTGGCTGCAGCAGAAGCTGAGACTGCCACCAGGTCCCTAGGAAGATGGAAGGTTCTCTCCCCCAAATAGTAGTCATTAAGGTCATCCTGGTTATGACAAGCAGAAGTCACTGTAGGCATTTCTTCTTGAAGGCATATACTAGGTTCTTTTTGGGAGTCCAGCTATAGAGCAGAGGTTCCCAGCCCACAATAATGACCTTTGATCTTTAGCCAAAGGTCAGGTCACTTTCTACAGGTCAACCAAGGACTCATGGTACATGTGCTGGTAGTCTAAATTGGTATCATGCATGAGGCTCATAGGAAACCACAAATTAAATACAGGCAGAATTCCAGAAGAGAAGTTGCTCCTTAATTTACTACCTTATTATCACAAAGGAGAGATTCCTAATAGATAGTTTCCAATAGGATTAACTTTTTACAGACTGATAGAGTATAAATAGATACATATTTTCTAGAAGACATTTTGACAATTTGATTCAAAAGCCTTAAAAATATACAAAGTCATTGACCTAGAAATTCCACTTCTACTAATTTATCCTTAGGAAATTATCAGAAAGTTACCTAAAGGCTATATATTAAAGTGTTCATTATAATAGAGAAAAATTAGAAACACCTTAATTGTATAACAGGGAATTAGTTAAATAAATTATGATATAATCTTAAACCACTATATTATATGATTGTATAATCATAAAGCTACACAGTTGGTTAAATTTTTGTCATGAGAGATTAAATGTTAAAAGCAGACTGAAACTAGTATACAACATAAAATCCTATTTTTGTAAAAAACGAACAAAAGAAAACAACAAAAAATAGCAACATGCATATACTCATAGAAAAACTGAGTTTGAATAGGGCTTCTCTCCTAGTGTAGAATCATGGGATTTTCTATTTTTATACCATAAATTCTGTACTATATAGATAATTTTCAAAGACAATAAAAATTACATTTTATTTTTAAAAAGTTATATTTCCTCTCACTGCTAAATTTGACTGGCTTTTAAAAAAATTTTTTAAATAAAAAAAATAAAAAGTTATATTTCTTTTTTTCTTTTGACTATTACAGTTTACGTTTACTTGCTCTTGTCTTTCAGTTCTGTAAACTTTGGCACTTTATTTTCCCAGCAAGCCTAAATGCGGACCAAGTCTTTCTCAATAACCAGGGAGAAAGGCAGTCCACTCGCGATACAGAAATTATCAAATTCAACAACTGGCTGGTGAACTCATCTGACCTTACTGGGTTTACAGCTCTGTTAAAAAGATATAGCATAATATGACTCCGGTCCACTTAACTGAGTTTATCAAAGTTGTTTGTGCTGGTATGGGTTTTATTTTCATTGGGATTTTTCCTAAAAAGAATCAGAATTCCGAATTAAAACAAGAGGTCAGAGAATTAGCTGACTACGAGCTGACTGAAACAGTTTGTACTGTACAGATTGTGAAATAGCTCAATATGCATGTTCTGGTATCTGCTACAGAGACACGTTGGATACTATCTTTCCCCAGGACATCATGGGAACAAGTAAGTTGAGTTAACATACCTTATTCAGGTTTCTGGACATGGTCATCACTTAAAAAATTTTGGAAATAAAGGAGTATCTTTTCACTTAACTTTCAAATGAGCATTAGAACATGGTTTATTTACATATTGCACAACAAATGGACAAAGCGAACTGGTATTCTGCTGAAACCTTTACAAACAGCAGGATAAATTTAAGTACGTTCAACTAAGGGTTACCAATAATAAAGCAATAATTAGATGCACAAATGTTTCACTTTTTAGCCAGCTGCCAACTGGCTTGCCCATAGAACTTTCCTGACTACCATACCGGAAACTACTGAAGGAAAGAGAATTCCTTTAAAATAACCAGCACAATCCCAGAGGCAGACAGATGTTCCTATGTCTTTAATGAATTTTCCCAAACTGGCCTTACCTTATTTAGAATAGTAATAAACCATAATAAGCATGTTTATTTAATTAATTTGAAAAGAAGGGAAATCCCATAAAATTACTTTGAGGGGCTGAGTGACATTCATGCATTTGTTGAATCTCCATTCTTTAAGTGCCTGCCACACATCAGACTGTGTGAGGCGCTGGGCAATGCAGCTAGGGTCTCTACCCACTTTATGTTCATATGCAATTAGACATGCAATATGGTAGTCTGAACGCAAAAATGACCCCCATTTTCCTTCCCCTATATCCATACCCCTTATAATGTGACTTTGAACCTGTTCCCATTAAGAAGCTGAGTTTATGTTCCTGCCTCTTGTACTTAGACTAACCTTATGACTTGCTTTGGCCCATAGACTGTGGCAAACGTGATAGTGGGCTGCTTCTGAGCCAAGGCCTCTGGAACCCTTGTGTGCTTCTCTTCTGGAGCCCTGCCTCTGTGAATAAGCCAAGGCCAGCCTGGTGGGAATGAGGGACCAAATGGAGGAGAGCTGAGACTCCCCAGCCAACAGCCAGCATCCCCAATGGCAGGGCCAACTAGCTGATCAGAGACACGTGGTGGAGCATAGCTAAGTCCAGATGAACCATGCAGATGAGCCTGGCCGAAATTGCTGACCCAATTATACACTAAATAAAGAGTTGTTGTCTGAAGCCATTAAGGTTTAGGACAATCTGTTACACAACAGTGCCTAATCAATACACACAGTAAGTGCTAACTCTGACAAGTCAGATATAAAATGCCATAGAGCACCTGTAATATTATTTCAACATATTACAAATGAATCATGCAATTTAGATGTATAAACAACAGATCTGAACAACCATCCAGAGAGGACTTAAAGAAATTATATATCTAGGGAAGGGCTAGCTCAAGACAGCCATAGTTCCTTTGAGAAATTTTTATGGATGAGTTGAATTTGCCTATGAAGTCATTCTTTGTTTCTTTTGTCTCTTTAAAAAAAAAAAAAAAAAGCAGCAGCTCTTTCACTCGATTAAGCCTGTTAGCCTTGATAACAATTGTCTAGCTTGATTCAAAGCAGCCATATACTCTCTGACACATGCTCAGCCTCTAGTACTCTGTAGGTAGGAATTTTAAACCCAGCTCTGCTGAATTTACGATTCACATACAGTAGCAAGTCTCTACAGGCTGAAAATCAAACTGTAATTCAAAGGCCACAGGGCTGAGAAAACAGCCAGGATATAAATCCCAATTTCAAACTTGGACTCTCTGCAAGTTGATTCAGTGGACTGTCAGTCATATTTAAAAATAAAACTACAGACACCAGGCGGCACGTTCTAAAGAGAAATGGGGTGACGCTTTTCAAGATTCCTCCAATAGGTTCTTGTTATCTCAAAAGAACTATTATGGAGGGATATTTTAAGGACCCTAAAACTTTTTGCCCCAATCAGTCATTTGCAGAAGTTTCTGAATTTTTACGCTACGAAGATGTAAAGAAGTAATGAAAACTATTAGATACAGTTGAACCCACACACTGATTGGAGGTGACGTTACAGACCCAGCCCATTTCTGGAGCTGGGTGGGTCCCTTCCAGAGAGTACAGGGAGAAGAAGGGCTCGGTAGGCACAGAGATGTGAGTACTCACCTTGCATCCCTCACAGGCGCTGACCCCATAGTGGTACCCTGATGACTTGTCCTGGCAGACGAAGCAGGGTTTGTACACTCGAGGGGGAGGAAGTGGAGACGGAGGGCTCGGGACGAGTTCCTCAGAGCTGGTGCTCTGGGTTTCAATTGCTACAGTGGGATGGGACGGGGGGGGGGAGGAAAGAAGAGAAAATGTATTTCAGTTCATTTTTTTTTTTATATTCATAAGTAAATTCACTTGTCTCCCCCCCAAATTCAGCAATAACACTAGTAGGGATAACCCCATAAAAAAGTTATCATGGGCCGGGCACGGTGGCTCACGCCTGTAATCCTAGCACTCTGGGAGGCCAAGGCGGGCAGATTGCTTGAGGTCAGGAGTTTGAAACCAGCCTGAGCAAGAGCGAGACCCCGTCTCTACTAAAAATAGAAAGAAAGTAATTGGCCAACTAATATATATAGAAAAAATTAGCCGGGCATGGTGGCGCATGCCTGTAGTCCCAGCTACTCGGGAGGCTGAGGCAGTAGGATCGCTTGAGCCCAGGAGTTTGAGGTTGCTGTGAGCTAGGCTGACGCCACGGCACTCTCTCTAGCCTGGGCAAGAAAGTGAGACTCTGTCTCAAAAAAAAGAAAAAAAAAAGTTATCATTGCAGCCACAGCAGTGGTGATATGGACACAGATGTGGTGTTCTGCAAATTAGAGAGCAACCTCAGACGTCTCTCTTATAGCACTGCTATGGTGATGGCTTTTATCACCATCATACTCTCCAGACACAGAAACTCGGAGAAGGGCAGTGACTTGTCCAAGACCAACAGGGCAGAGGCAGAGCTGAGAGGCCAGTTCAGATCTTCATACTGCAAAGCCCAGGCTCTTTCTACTCTTCTGTCTCCCCTACATATAGAGTCTCAAATGACTTGTTTGAATCTGCTGCTTATTCAACCAAAAGTTAATTTCCTTACAAAAAATGATGGAAATGCTCAACACAGTCATTCGACAAGTCAGTATATGGCCAGGGCCTTCAGCATGACGTGGCCATAACTGATCTTCATTGATAACAATATCGGTAATGCCTTTGCTCCTCAGAGAGACTGCTCCTCGGACCATCAGCATCAGCCTTACTTCAGAACGTACTAGACAACATGGTATCAGGCCCCAGCTCAGGCCCATGGAATCAGAATCCATATTTTGACCAAATCCCCAGTTTGACCGCATGTGCAATTAATGTTTGAGAAGCAGTGGGTTACACACCTCATGATGGCATAAAGCCGTGCAGTTCACTTCTAAGTCATATTGATGTTTATTTTATATTTAAAAAATACACGATTCCTGTTTCATTGTCTAACTACCCAAATTCCACAAGGAAATTGAATTCACAAAATATACCACCAAAGTGATCTCCGCACCTATTCTTCAGGGTTTTGATCAAAAACAAAGCAAGAACTGGACTTACTCCTATCACAGGCAAAAAAATGCTCATAAAATATGATGGAAATTGGGAAGAAGTTGATTAAAGATGGTTTAATAATGTTCCAGAATCTTCTTGTCTCCGGATTATAATATATAGTGGAAGTTTCAGAGTATAATATTTTTGGCTGTTCCACTGCTATAATTGCCAAGATATTATACTGACTGGATTATCCTATAGACAAACTTTTAGCAGGGCAGGTCAACTCTACCCCAGCCGTTAATCCCACAGCACTACCCCAGTACCACACCAGGCTGGTGGTCCACCATCATCTCTCGCCTTGACTACTGCAATAGCCTCTTCATTGGTCTGTTCAGGCCTACTCCTCCTACCCAGGGTCCACTCTTCAAACAAGCGGTCAAGATAATGATTCGAAAGCTAAAATCAATCTCCTTCACTTGCCTATCTAAAGCCCTCCTACAGTCACCAATCGGGTCAAAGTCAAACTCCTTACTATGTTCCACAAGGCTTTTCACTCCATGGCCCTTCAGCAGTATCAACGTATTCCATGACTCCCCTCGCTGATTGAATTCTAAATAATTGGCTTCTCTTCTGTCTTTTGAAAGGGCCAAGCTCTCATATTAACTTAATGCTATTACACTACACATTTTTCCTTCCTTGGAAATTCTCAGACCTTTACACATCTGGTTATTTTTCATCTCTTGCATCTGAGAGTAAATGTTACCTCCTCAGAGGTGACTTCTCTAATTAAAATGCCCCTTCTCACTCCTGGTCATTGTATCCCATTACTTTATTGTATTTCTATAAAACTCTAATTAGGGTCCAAATTTTTTTTTTTTTTATATTCATCAAACCACCTTTAAGGGTCCAAATTTTAAAAGCTTATTTTTGCACAATTTTATATTCTACATTTGCTGCCACCCTGCCCTCGCCCTGGCCATACACAAACACACTCTGAATATTAGGCTTCATGAGGCTAAGAAACTCACCTGCCTTGTTTATACCTGTGCTCCAGGACTATATAAAGTCCTGGCACATAGCAGGTAATCAATAAATATTTGTTGGATTAATGTATGAACTTTTTCCCTTTCCATTTTCTTCCTCATTCCAAGCACTAAGTACCCCTCTAAGTTGTTAAATGATAAAATTAAAAATCAAATAGCTCTCTTATACTCATTTGCTTCCTCAAAAAAAGTAATTAATTAGCCCTTTGGAACAGAATCAACTATAATTATAGTATTTTCATAATTCAGAGGAATCTTGGAACGAATTCATTAAAGTAGTGCAGGTCCTAGTAGATAAATCTATTACAGTCTTTACTCTTTGGAACTGAGGTATCTGGGATGAACATGTCAATCTTGAGTGCATTATTTCTTACGGCAAATAGGAAACTCTCATTGCGAATAACTTGGCATGATGGTGGCAAGTGTTTTATAGACGGGTTGGCATCTGAGATGTCACTAAGGTTTATTAGCTATCAAGCTGTAAATGCAAAAGCATTCCTCACACTGAGCTAATCAGCTTCACTGAAAGCAAATTAACAGGAAAAAACTACTTGTTCAAATTATAAAACAATATATCACTCTTTGTTAAAATTGAAGAAAACGCACACACACACACATACACAAAATCACCAACAATCTTTTCACTCAGAAATCCACTGTAATCACCTTGGTATATAACTTTCCAGACTTTTTTCCTATGTATGTAAATGTTTCGGTTTTGTTTGTTTATGGAAGTGTTAGTTATACTGGGATTGTTTGGGACTTTGTTCAACTTAGGATGTCATGCATTTATTTCCTTGTCAATAAATATTTTTCCCATAAGACATTCCATTGTGATGAACATCTTTGTAGCTAATCTCAGCACATCTCTATTTCCTTAGAATAAATTCTCGAGGTGTAATTATTTGCTCAATAGGTATGTTACTTTTAAAATATTATTGGTTTTTAATTCACATTGATAATCTGACTTCTAGAAAGGGTGTCTCAGTTTACACCCCTAACATCAGCATAAATAAGTAAGCCTTTCTCTATACGCTTCCAAATCTTTTGGGTTGGTGCTATTTACGTGCTTCTACTTTCACCTATGTGTTTCAACAACTGACAGAGCCATGTCATTGCCGCTAGGATCAATCTTGTTTTATGTTCTTCACAGAAGCAAGGTGAAGTGTGTGTGTTTTCATGTTCTACTTGCTCGTGTAGAACAGCTAATCTGGCTCGTCTAGGAAAGTTGTAAATAGAATTCTGTTAGGGCTGGATTCAGCTGTCAGAGCTATGCCCTGAATTTCAGAAGTGGGTGGTAATTTCCATAAATATGCCACTTCAAATACACACACTGAAGGGAGTCCAGCATTTCATCCTCCTAAAGGAAGCAGAATTGTGCATAATTTAATATCCAAAAAGCTTGGGGTAAAGCACACTAAGAGGGTGAGGCCTATTGGATGTTAAAAAACCCCCCAAACATTCAACAAAGGTTGGTAAAAGCTTTTTTCTATGGATGAGAGTCATTAATAAAAAATGAATGAATCCGGAAGGCTTTCCCTGAACAGTTGCCACGAATAAAAATGTTCTATTGTAAGCAATCAATAGTGAGAGCCCTAAACTTTTATTAAGACTGTGGTGATTTCACCAGTAATTCTATGAACTTTCCCATATTAGTACCATGGATTCTCAGACTGTTCATGTGTTCAATCATTTGTTTTGCTGAGTGACTATAACATATGCCACAGACAGTGCCTGGTATAATCCTTTATCCTTGACAAATCTGGCCTAATAGAGAATAAGCCAATGATTAGAATATGATAATAATAGAATATGATAATAGTGGTTCTAGTGGTTAATAGTGGTTCTAATAATAATTAGAATATGATAATAGTGGTTCCCAAACTCGGCTGCACATTAGAACTACCTGGGGAGTTTTTAAACATCCTAATGCCGAAGTTGTATCCCAGACCCACTGTTGTCCAGAATTTCTGGGGAAGGAAGACAAAAATCCCTATTTTTAAAAAATATTCCCAGGTAAATCCAAATTGAAGCAGCTTGGGAACCAGTGATAGAATATAACGACAGAAAGAATTGCAGGTCTTATTCAGCCCAGGAGAAATCAAGCAAGGCTCCTGAGAGAGGTGACCGGACTGTGTTTTGAAGAATGAATTAGTTCCTTCTACTGTGTTTTATAATTTGAATCCTACAAATGCAATAAGTGAATCCCACATGCACAGAAATAGAAAAGTCTTATGTATGACTAAAAATAATCATCTTTGGAAGAATTTTCCCCCTGGTAGTAAAGAATTAAATATTTGACTCTACATTAAAATATCACCTTCAAAATGGACAGTCCGCTGTCCTTTATTTCCTCTCTGTGGCCTATAACACTGGGAACAAAGCAAGGCAGAAAAGAAAATTTCAGTGGTGGATGTAGTCAGTCAGATCGCCAAAGCTAGCCTCAGGCAAACATGCCAAGACAAGTTCTAGAATTACAACCAGGATATGGCATCAATATAAAAGATTTGTACTTAATGCAATCTCTTGCCTTTCTGGTAATGTAGCAAAAACATACTTTGGCAAATTTATTAGAGCTCCTCTTCCCTTTTTGTTCTCGCCCCCCCAATAAAGACAGTGGGAAACAAGGGAGGGGCGCAGCCCAAGGGCTCCCCTTTCACTGGTCATATTTGGTATTTAAGGTAGATACAGAGTGCTCGGCCATTGATCTGTTCACTGTCATC